GTCTGCAACAGTTATTATTTGTTTGGGTTCTATGACACAGCATGTGTCTACCCCTGTGGGAAAAAGCAGTCACAACTACCAGTTTTGGCAACAAAAAAAAAGGGAATTTGAATATAATATTGAGTTAAATAAACTAATCATATTTGGAAAAAAATTAGTGAGGTGATTCTTAACAATAGGCACTAATTGCGTGCCCCTGTAGCTCACCAGGCAGAGTATGTACGATGTGTCAAGGATGTGTCAATGAGTCTTTACTGCGGCAGCCCAGGTTCAAGTCCAGCCTGCTGCATATTAACCCCTCTTCCTCCCCTGCCTTTTGTATGTCTCTCTCTACTCTGAAGTAAAATGCCCCCCAAAAAAGAATAGATGCTATTCCATTTTTAAAATATAGAACATGAAATGCAAGAACAGAGGAAGAGGTGTGATATGCAACAAAGTTTCCTTGGCCAGGAGTCAAACGGTGCCAGTTACTGTACGTGGTACATGTCTTAACCACAAGGCTACTGGGATGCTACTAAAATAAGTGCTACTATTGAGAAATAGTAATAGTTCATGTTTGAATAAAGCATAGTTTCATTAATTGCTGATATTTAATATGGTCAGTAAGCTTACTAATATCATATCATCAGTGTTTAACTATAATGTATCACACTTAAAACTTTGTCATCACAAAACATCTGCAAGAGAGTGGAAAAACAATGCAAACACATTTTTCTCCTATGAACCTAAACAATTGAAATGAATAGTTTTTGTTACTGACTATCCCTAAGGAACTGCTGCATGCAGTGTGGGACTACTTGTTGAATGTGTTTCAGTCAACAAATTGACTGTTCAACTGTGAGGAAGAAAACCAAAACCACTGGTACTATAATCTTCCTGTCTCTGTCTCTCTCCGCTCCCCTCACTCTGTGACCCATTTCTCTATCTGCTCCCTAGTGCTCAACTGTACAATTATACAACAGGCCGGGGATTCAAGGATACACTGGTTGAGTTTCAACAAAAACAGGATGCTTATCGAGGCGTTGGCCTTTAGACACTCACACACACGTTTGCACTTTTATTCTTGTGATGACCCCTATTGACTTAAAGCCCCTGACCTAAACCATCACATCTACATACTTAACCTTGACCTTTACCCTAACTTTAACCTAGTTCTAACCTTTATCCTCCAATCAAGCCTTTGCAAAAGTCCAGACCAACCAAAATGTCCACACTTTGATGTCCTCTCAAAGATAATAGTACAAGAGTATGAACACACACAGCAGACCTCACAGTTGTCAGTTTCACAGTTTCCATTCACTGTAAAACATGCTGCAGCTGTCAGTCACACACATACAGTTTGTACTGTCAGCTTTTTGAAAAACGCAACATTTGCATCACCTTACTGCTGTTTCTATCATGCAGCTGCACTATACTGCGTGTGCGTTCGTTCTTATTTGTTTTAACTTGCCTTACACACACCCACCCAGTTATGTAATAACCCTTCTTTATTCTTGACAAGAATTGTGACCCCGTTTCTTGCCACTAGATAAGGCAGTGACAATGAAGAGAGACGAAGAGAGAGTGAAAACATTAGATTAGTTATGGCTTTTGCCATAAGTCTCACTTCAGTACAAAAATGGATACTCCACCCACTTCCTATAATACAGTATACTGCACTCCATGGACTGAGTGACACACACACACACACACACACACAGCTAAAATAAATAGTCTGGTGGTAAATGAGACATATTTGCTGCGATCTCTTCCTCTCACAGACCATTCCCACCCAGTATCTTACACACACGGACATGATTAAGATTCCACAACGCACCCAGATTCCAGAGTATTCCCTGAATAAACATTGCTTCCTAAATTTTACATATTGGGTTTGGTTTTATTACTTACAGATCCATTTTCAAAACCTACATTGAAAAGTGCTTTACAAATTGAAAGAATAACAATACATTGACAGTGGGTCAATGAGCCACTCACAAAGCTCCTTCCATGCCATGGCTGATTAGCAAAGGTCAGTCAGACATCTCACATTTGAAATGTTCATTACAGCAGTATAATATAGTTAGCTTTTGGCGTCCAGGCTCCGACCTCGTCACTCTCTGCACATATGTTTACTTGGAGATATATTGGGGAGTGATGAGCACATACCTTAAACCCCCCTAGTCGGAGCCTACGGGTGGATGCTGGGGTGGTGGTGGGAATTACAGAATGACAGGTAGCAATACTGATGCAAGGCAGCAGCGGCATTGACAGAGCAGAGAGAGAGCTGGGAAATATTTGCAGCTTAAATAGATCACCAGATTGGAAGGGTGCGCTTGGTTGGTGATTATGAGTGAGCCATCTCGTGTGTATAGCGGTGCAGCTCGAGTTGAAGTCCCACAGTGTAATGTAAATGATAATAAAATTGATAAATGACAAAGAAAATGGAAAATGTACTCATAAATAAAAATGCTAACTCAAACTGAAGTATCTCCCTCTGTACTGTCATTTCTGAGCAGCTCTGCATCTACACTTGTGGGGTACATCCTAACGGCATGTATTTGAGCAGCACACATCCTGTTGAACTTTCACTAAGGTGTTACAGTAGGCAGCAGTGCCTAAACAATTTAAAACACAATTTAAAGATCATTGGGAGAATCCAGTCAGTCTGAGTAGAACTGGCTAGACAGTTAAACTCCTTATCTTTGATTTAAGCCAGCTTCAGTTTTCAGCCAGATGAACTCTGATGTTGATGTAGCTCTGGGATTCAGTGCTGACCCCATTCCCTTTTCTATGTTGGCTGACTCTTGCAGAACTTCATCCAAAATGTTTGTGGTTTTAGTGAGAGTAAGACGGAAATTTCGAGAGTACATTCAGGATACTGTTTTTCACACAAAAGACTGTGAGGTGGTATGTTCGGCCTGGTTGTTTGGTCACCTTTCTCAGACAACACATGTTATACTGTATGTATTACTAGGCTAATGGGTGAGGCAGCAAATTAAAGAAGAATAAGAAAAATAAGTCATCTACTGTATAATGCTGCTAAATATAAAAATAATAGTAATTAAATACTCTCTAAAACATTTTGTCTTCATGAGAAAAAACTAAAAACACAGGAGGAAGATGCATATTCAAAGTGACAATCTTGGTACACAGTAGGCACAAAAAACATTCTCATTTTTGAGAAACTAACACAGAAGGAAAGATCTGCGCTCTAGGCCAATAACCAATCACACTGTGTATGCCGATGCTATGGTAGCAACAATCGAAACAGTTTTCTCCACTGTGGAAATAACCATTTCTAATAAAACAGCTTCATGTGGGATCAGTGGTCTAGTAGCACCACTGGTGTTGACATAATTAAGAGGGTGTAGCCGTAGTATCAAAGAGCTCAAGTGACTGTTATGTTTCTCAGTGCTGTAAACACTGTGGAGGAACGCAGTGATCTAGTCTCGGTGGCATCACAGCAGCTAAAAGAGTGTCGGCCTCACTATCATCAAACTGTGGTAACTACATAACCATGTCTCTGAGGCTCCATTCCAAACATTTCTTTGTTTAATGGCATTGCTTTTTTTATTACACACTGGAGAGAGACAGGAATAAGCATCACTCATATTAATCGATGAATACAATACAAAGGAATTTGTACTGCATGTATGTAGTGAGTCCTGGAAATTTTATTCTAGACACTTTTTCACTAAACACAAACACACACCCACAAACAACAAGCTCGATCTTTCTTCTGACTGTGCCTGCACCCACATATATTAATATCACTGTTATTCCTGTAATTATCTGGTGACCCCTAAGATTCTTCTTGGGGCACCTTAAGGTCCTCCAGGTTGGGAATCTCTGGCTTAAACAGGACACTATAAGATGGTAAAAAGACATAAACTGAATACCATCTGCTTTTTACAACACAAGTAGGCCCTCCACACCCCTGTGGCCATTCTTTATCTATGTTATCTGCTTTAATTTAAAAAAAACAACAAGATTTACATCCCAGCTTGCTTGTCAATAATAAAACTATGAAGTATGGCACTAGTTTTACAACGACAAGTAGCTCTGTTTTTAAAAGGCCACTCCAAACCACGACTCACTCCAAGGGGAACTAGGTTTAATGATGAGAACTAGGGCATATCCATAACATTTCACTTATGTAAAAATAACAGAAAAGGGGATGATAACAACAAAAAAGGTGGGATTACATAACTGACATAACTGTGTCAGGTGAGTTAAAACTCACAACATCATTAGTGTCATGTTTCCAACATCTCAGACACTTCAGAGAAAACAAAGTTGCAGTCAGTTCAGTTATTTCCTCCGCTGATACGGATCAAGATTTATCATCACGGAATAAATATTTCAGATGCTGCATAAATATTTTTACAAAAAAGACTTCACTGTGTTTACCACACCCTTGTCTCTTACACTCGCCCTCATTTTTTCTCCCCTCCCTCCTCCCTGTATGTGTTTTTTCTCACTTTCTATTTCTTTCTGACTCCCCTTTTCCTCCCCTTCATTGCTATCCAATCCTCACTGCACTCTCTACTTACTCAAGACCACACCACTTGAATTTTCATGTAATTACAAAGAATGACATATCATTATGAAATGAGTCTCTCTGAGAGGACAGGCAAATGTTTGGATTGTAGCCAAGTTCTATAAATTGTGACATGTGTCTCCAGCGTTGACTGTAGATATGTGACAAACATACAAAAAAAATGCAGCGTAATAAATGGGTCAATGCCACACAACTCGACTGAGGAAGATTAAGAAAGCGCAGGGGAAAAGTATGTGGCAGGTGAGGGGGAAGTAAAGTGGGTTCAATGCATAGATAGCAGACCTCCTTCGAGTTGTTTTACTGTGTGTGTGTGTGTTAATGTTAATGTTTGGTTAAATGCAGTTACATGTATGAGCAGTGTGAGAGTGTTCGCTTTCCAACCCTGCATGGACAGTATCTGTATTAACAGTGTATTGGTGTATATTTTTGTGTCTGCATGTACTGTTTTGTTTCCTACCCTCAGTCTCAGCTTGCGTGGCTTCAGGTGAGGGGTTGTCCTGGCCCCAGTCTGCTGCACAATAGATCTGAACCACCAAGAGCCTCTTCAGAGACACCAGGTCAGCATCTCTGAGCCCAGTCTCCAACTTGCGAACAATGGCCCGCCCTGACTGGCTGGTCACCACAGTAACCTGTGAATATGGCAAGAGGAAATGGAAAAATACCTTAGAAAACCTAGAACAAAACAGACTCAAAGGACATCAGTTCAAATGAGAAATATTTTACAGTCACATCCTAAGTGAAAACTTGGGCCCAGTAGGCACACGCAAAGGCCTTGGTATGCTTCCGATGAAGTGTTTATCACGTTTGAACAACTTCTGAAATACTTCTGAAAGGTTGTGTATGACAATTTCTGTAACTTTGTGAAAGCAGCAATCTGACATTCACATTATTCAGGCAGTGATTGGTCAGTTGTGTAGGTGAGAAAGTCTTTTCTTGTGTGAAAACTAGTGCAACATCATGAATGTCTTTGAGGACAGACTGTCCAAAACTGTGTCCAGTTGTCACTGTTTTTTAATTATTAGGTCACATAGTTGTTCCACCCCACAACTCTTTCCCAGGGTCTCACTTCTGAATTGTTACAGCTGGCTTTATGAAAGATCAAGTTTGTGTTTCAAGTTGTCATTTCTACAGAAGAATAGGCCACAACATCACCACAGCAAAGCATTCTTTGTGTGTGACTGTTGTGTTTCTGTTGTACTTTAGGGACATGACATATCGTAAATTACTGTTACTAAATTAAACACATGATGTCAGAACTGTTCTAGTTCCTAGTCCCAGTGAAGTAAACTCAACAGAAAGGTTACCATGTTATAATGACACAACTCTCCACTTACTGCCTTACGATCGATAATTTTAATGTTTCCTGTAGCTCAGCTATCACTATCTCACATGTCATGGCACCATAAATGAACAAAACTGCTGGTAAATGCACTGTAAAATGTGTTTCACTAATCCATTATTTTTTTTGATAATGAAGATTTCTGTGGTAGATTTACGCAAAAGACAACATCTTATAATAAGCAGTCACTCTCTCTGACGATGGAAAGAGATGAAATTAGTTTTCTGTGGCATTTACATGCCTAATGGGGGGACACAGATAAACTAATGGGAGGCTGATGTTGAGCACCCTACTGAATCACATTAACAGTAGCAGTAAATGAAGATTATAATGGGATTATTCGGCGCTCTGCTTCCTCCTGTTTGGCCAAAAGTAGAATCTGCTGCTGAAGCCTGACACACATCAACATACACACGCACACACACATCAACACACACACACGACTGCGAGAAACATGTATGTGAATGAAAACATATATTGTATAAGTGGTTTAGCAACACACACACACATACATACATACACACACACAGACACACATACACAGGGCCATGTCTCTGCTTAATGTCTCTCCGTCTCCTAATAGTGCTATTCATATCTGCTGCTGTCGGAAACAGTGGGTCTTAGTGTAATCATCTGCCCAGAGCTTCCTAATAAAGCTGGTTGGATTTGAGAAATCCTCGTCAACAACCCAGAGCCTTGTACCCAGAGGACATGATGTTCAAATTTAACAAGAAGGACAGTGACTGGCTCAGTTATCAATTGGCTCCCCATATGTTCAACATTTGAATCTAACATTTGAATTCTTTCAGCAATGTCAGCTTATATTCCCATCCCCCCAACATTTGCTGACGTCTAAAATGTTGCATTTGTGTCTCAACTTTTGAGCCTGGAACATGGTCTGAATATTAGCCCAAAGCTGGCTTTGAATGACATAAATAGGAATTAAATGCACACTTCTATTAAATGTGCTGCATCCAAGTGATAGCTATGATCTTGATGAGTCCATCCACTTGAATCATAATAAGTGAAACAAATTCGATATATGATTTGCCTTAAAACAATTTTAACAGAGACTTTACAGAAGTGGGAACTCAAACATTGGTTCAAATGTGCACTTGAAGGATTTGGCACTGAAATGTGTTAGCTGATTGGATATTCTAGCAGGAGGACACTGAAAGCTGAAGATTTACTGATGTCACTCTTCCTAGACAGATGGCTCAGCAGCAGATGAATAGAGCCCATTTGCTGCATTTGAAATGTACATGAGTTGGTTTTAAGTAGCCTGTCTGATATAAGATGTGAAGAGTTCTCTGCAACTAAAATGGGCTGTTAACAAAGACATTTTTAAGCTTTTAAAAATGCAAATTAGATTCCCAATTCAATGTTTTTGCAGCTGCTAAATACACTAAATTGGACCTGAGGAGAGCTCATTTAACAGATATAAGTGGAGCCTCTTCCCTACATTAGCATTGAGTACAAAGCTTGAATATCAAAGGGGTCTATTCAGTCTGAGCTGGTCTGCAGTTGAAGAGATACTCGTTCATTATGGATCTGGAGACACAGAAACAACCTAATATTTAGCAGAAATGACTTCATATACAATAAAGTTGTACAAAAGTGTTAAAGTGGTTACTCTATTGTTACTGATTACTGTATGTATCGTATGATCCAGTTCAGGTAGATTGAGTTGTCATTTATTTGCCACTAGCTGAGAAAACAAGGGGATGTAGCTCAGTGGTAGAGCGCATGCTTCATGCATGTTATGGACGGTCCCTGGGTTCAATGCCCCAGCAGTCTGCCATTTCTTGTGGGATACAATGTGTACACTGGTCACTTGATGATGAAGAGGGTGACCACTTAACCTGCGGTTAAATATGGATAACCGCTCACAAGCACTTCAGTGTACGAGTAGGGGAACAACAATGGTCATAAAGCCAGCTCAAATCATGAGCCCAAAACTGTGTGTTAGTTTAGTTCTTGTCAGGGCCTGCCTGACGCTCATTTTAATGTCAAGTATAGTCCAATTGAATAAACAGCGTATAATTTCCAATTGTATCTGCATTGTACTTTTTATATGCCAGCAGCCAGGGAATTACTTGTTTGCCCTTGTTTGAATGTATTTCATTCCATGATCCAAAGCACGGAATTTAATGCGTTGCTCAAAAAAAATATATAAATAAGAGATCGAAAATTGTAGTTTTGGGAACGTCGTTAATCACAGTATCACAGCTGAGATTGTTCAGCAGGAACAGGCTTTTACCAGATTATTTTGGCTTATGAGTTAACAGTTTTGTTGTTTTCCAACTGAAATAGGATGAGAAAGCATGGAGGGATTTGGCTGGTTTCATGTAGTGTAAAGGTTGTTCACTTTGTATGGAAATATTTACCAAAAAACGCACCTGGGTTCAAACCCGTAGCTTCCTTGAAGCCACCATGCCTTAGCCAACAAGTCAGTGGCAAATGAGCAGTGTTGACTACTGTTGGTGATTCTTTGATAGAGCAGATAAATTTAAAGCTTTTTTCAAATAAGAACTTGTTGTTATTTCCAGAGCTCGGCTTTCTGGACCATTTTCATTGTTCCGTCCAGTAGGTACCCTTAACAAACGCGCCCCTTATGTTGTAAATGCACGCTGAATCCCTGCTTACACTAAAAACAGCTTTAAGAAAAACACTATACACTGTGTCATGGAGAGTAGGGAAAGGGACAGAACAGGAGATTTAACCAGCTGAGAATTCAGCAGCGACTAATCATGCTGTTGGCTTTAAGCAGATGTAACAAAAGAAGTATTCACGCTCTGCAAGGTTTGTTCTGAGGGTGTACCAGATAACAACACATGGAGGGATCGTAGCTGCAGTGGTAGAGCGCCATGTCGCACTTGTATTGAGGTCCTGGTTCAAATCCCAGCATCTCCACTGGGCCTGTGGTGGACACTATACAGCTCACTGATCATCAGAAGGGATTTTTGTTAAAGCACTAGTAATCGGCTATACATATACGCTGCTCTGTCACCATAAAACATATTGAAGACTACTCTAAGGAAGCTAACACCTAATTGAACGAATGGAGAGCAGGATCATCGTATTTATTATTTTTGGGATTGATCTATTTATTTTTGCCCAGTTCAGAAAAGGGATTGACTTTATGAGTTTACCTGATTGAATCACTTGAATAATTCAATTATTCTCTTAGTTAATCTGAAATTAGAACATCGAAATGGTGGTGCAGCTGAACTGGAAAGACAGTCAAGGTTGATAACACTATGCGACAGAACCACGAGGTTCCTAACCAGGCTGCAGCACAGTAACCCGGGGTAACGTTCTCGTTTCCTTGGCAGATGTTGACAGAGGGAAGTGTGGGGATGTAGCTCAGTGGTAGAGCGCATGCTTTGCATGTATGAGGTCCTGGGTTCAATCCCCAGCATCTCCATTTCTTATGGCCACTGTTACTTAAACAAATGACCACATTAAGTGAAACTTTGTGACATTAGATGTTGTAAAACAGTTGGAAAGCCTCCAAAAATGCATTTTGGAGCATTATCTTTGCCTGTGACAGGCTAACTTTTGCAGCCAGAGTCAACTAGAGATGCCTGTGTTTTTAAAAGCCCATCGTGATGATTGACAAGTCTGTAGTTCAGTCTTTTTGTTGGTTTATGTAAACATTTCTTGTGAGTTGTAACATGAGTCGCGTTGCCTTCATTAAGTATTAATGCACTTCTTCTGCTAAAGCAAACTTCACCTCAGTGTACAGTAAAAGCTGCTAACTAACTTTTTTTTGACATTATTTATATAGCAGGCCTATCTTTGCTCACCTCCACAGCTGTGTTGTTGCCAGCCTGGTTGCCAGTACTGGTGTGTCTGATGTACTGTTTAAACTGCTGCAGACTGTCCAGCACTGCCTGTCGCAGCAGCTCACCTCCTCTGGTCACTCCTCTGATACAACCTTCACCTGGAATAGACCTCAGCTCCTCGACACAGGAATGCAGCCTGGCCAGGTTACCACGAACCTGCTAAAAATTGAGAGAAACAGAGAAGAAAAAGCAACAAAAGGAAGAGTGGTGGGAGTGGAAGAACAAAAAAAAAAAGACGTATACATAATTCTTAGAAACACTTCACCTTCACCAATCTTACCACAAACGGCAGTAGACATTCCTGCTGCCTGCTGATGGCGTATATACTGAGTAGTGGTATCCTACAGGGTCCGTCCAGACTACAGGCCAGGGACAAGAAGTTATCCAGAGCATCACAAAGCACCGTACAGGTCTCTGACCACCAGGGTGGCAGCGCCTCCACGATCAGGACTCTGGCTGGTTGCCGTGGAAATGAGGAGGACCAGTAAACCAAGTTCCCAGAGTTGGAGGAACTTGCTGGCTTCTTTCTGTTATCCGTGGACATCTAAAAGCAACAAACACAAAAAAGCTTTTAAGGTAACATCCCAAGGATGAAGAATTCTGCATTTGAACTTACCTGTTACATCGTAGTTTTTAATGTAAAAAGGCAGCAACTAAACTGTTCTCATGTTTACAACAAATCTAGCAGACCAAGAGGAGGAAAACCAGTAATTAACAAAATGAGCAGAATACATAGACATAATATCAAACCACTGCCCTGTAATTATAACGAGCTCATGCAGTCAACAACATTAAAGTACATTAGCTGCAGCCATAATCATGAGCATTATGCACCACTGTAAATAGAACATGAATAGATGGGCTATGATGAACATGAAAATTATATATGAATGTAGGTTATAAATGGTTCGGTTTTCAAATGACTGAGGGGCATTTCCTGACTCCTGGGGAGGCTAATGTGAAAAAGTGACTACAAAGTTCGGTTTTGTGCAATAATGGCTGAAAGGCAACTATTTCATGGCTGAAAATAAGAGTTTGAGAATCCATTTGTTGGCAAGAAAGTTCTCGTTGAACTATGCTGTAGGGCATGGGTAATCATATTTTGCCATCCCCGGGTGCAAATTCCCCCTTAAATGGTCAGAGTTCGTTGTGCACAGAAGGACTTTGCTTTGTGGTGAATGAATGATGATGACTCGCTGCATTGATAAACTGGCAGTAGTGGTGTTAAAAGTCTGCTAAAACAGAGTGTCACAAGGATTAGACGATAACACAAACAGAAACTCAAATGATTCCTGTGGGGAAATCAGGTTATTACAGCAGCAGAAAGTAAAACAAGATGGATGAAATGGAACATATACAGAGCACCGTAGCTAGAAAAAATATTGTATCAATGTTAATTATTATTATTGATTGATTAAACATTCGGTGTTTTTAATGTTGGATAACAATAAAATGATTTCATTTTCTTAGAGCCCAGGGTGATATCTTCAAATTGCTTTTTTTATCTGGCCAAGAGTCCAAAATCCAAAGATATTTAATACAAAATGACATAAAAGAGAAAAGCTCATCACCTCTGAGAAGCTGTAACCAGCAAATGTTCAACATTTTTACATGAAAAATTTCAACAAAACAATTATTCAACTGTCTAATTGTTGGCTGTTCATTTTTTGTCAATTGATTAATCAAGTATTTGTTCCAGCACTAGTTAATAATATTCATATAGTTTAACACAACTAAATTTAGTTCTGAATTCCGTTTTAGAAAAAAAAAAGGGTAGAAAGTCAAGACCACTGAGCTTTTTATAGACACGTGTCTTTGATAAAAACCACATGTATCAGGAAAAAAAAGCTCATCTGTTTTTCCTTTTTACAGCTTCCTAAAAATCACCAGGTGCAAAGGGCCGGTCTGGGAGGCTGTCAACCAGCATGAGTCAGCCATAGAGGGTGTGGCCAGAGGGATGGAGAGAGGAAAACCCCTCACGCTTCACACAGTCAATCACACCATCTGAAACCCTGTCATTATGGAACGTACGTATGTGTGAAATCTGTCTTTTTGTGTCTGGTCACTCGCGTCATTATTACTGAAGGGAAACCCCTGATTTAGCAACATGAATGACACCCGCTTCTGACACACATCAGTACAATTAGTCATTTCATTTACACACCTCAGTGGGCGAGAACAGACAGGACCACAGGAGCGTGAGGAAAGAGGAAACAAGGCAACAGATTGCTATACAATTTTCCATGATGCAGGTTTGGGGGGCTTTTTGTAATTTCACTTAAGTTGCTGCGTTGCTGAGTTGAGCAATTAGCCGAAAACATTCATTAATTCATTAATTGTTTGAGGCATTTTTGCTTGAAAAATGCCAAACCTTCACTGGTCACTGCTTCTCAAATAGGAGGGTTTGCTGATTTTATAATCAACTGTAAATTGAGGGTTTTGGATTGACGTTTAGACAAAGTATGCAATCTGAAAAATAATGATCGACAGAATAAATTAAATCCATTTTTTAAAAACAGATTAATAATGAAAATAATCATTATTTGCAGCCCATGTCTTTATATCTTAGACCTCTAAATCAACACTTAAACATAACTAGCTATTTGTGTAGATTTATTCTAGTTACTTTACAACAGGGAAGCTTCTTCACACTGTCGGCTGGAACTGAGCTGGATATATATGCGAAACGCTTTAATCATCAGCCCCTGTCCAAGGTCGGTACTGCCTTTCTAAAGACATCCAGAGGACAACACTGTTTACAAATTCCTGTTTGGTGATGAATTAATGTAACGGCGGATGGAATATTTAAACTTCCACACACACACAAACAGTCATACTGGCCTGCTGATGCCCACAACCAAACTGAAGCACCAACAGGACCCGATTTAAACTTAAAATACTCAAAATACAGGCAGAAACAACAACACATCCTATGGAAAACCCCCGGAGGCTTGCACTACTCTTATCAGAGCCAAAGCCATTGACAGAACTAATCCCTTCCGATCAAAAGCTGAGCTCTGTGCACTCTTTATCATCCGAGCTCTTAAATCCACTGTCCTGAAACCCTGCTCTGTTCTGATCGTCACAAAAAGGGGCTATTTTACCGTTAATAAAGGCCATATTGTGTGAAAGTGTGTGTGCCGTTTGATCTTCGGCCCTTCTCATCTATCTCTGACTCAGTTCTCCTCTTCTGAGCCCAATTCTGTGCTCCTCACCACCCAGATCACACATCATTCACCCTAGCACCTTTGATCTTGCATCATCTCTTAGAGCATGGTCTGTGTAAAACATCAACAACTACACTGAGATTCAGTCCAACAGCTACAGTACATAATATAGCTTCTGTTTGCCACAGCTGCATTGGCTTGGTGTCTGTTCAGCTGTATTATTTCACTGGCATAAATGCATCACATACATGAACTATGCACTACACAACAATTAAGTAGCATTAAGGTCTGCGAAGGCTGAAAAGATGTTATAACAGTGTGTTTACAATAATGCAAACAAGCTGAGTAGCTAAAAATAAAAGTTAACCTGAGAGCAAAATGGATGAGGACTTGAAGACAAGAACAGTAATGTTAAGGGTGAGTGGCAAGAAATATTACTAACTATGCCGCTGAAAGCTAAACATTACATACAGCCAGCTTAGATGAGATCATCAGATGTTAGCTCTGTTATTTTAATAATTTTATCTGAGTTTAGCAAAGCTAATTTAAGTTACATTAAAGACAACTTCAGCTGTTACCTTAGCTTGGTGTAGCTCCTCTCCTCTTCTACTGGAACAGTTATATATACTTATACTTATATATATATATACATAACGTTATATAAGACAGTAATGTTACGTAGACACAAAACAACAAACATTAACAGCTGAACTCTTTATATATATAACGTTATATAAGAACTCTTTCCTGGCTCGCAGGCTAACGCTAACTAGCTACCAGTGAGTTAACTACAGCTTCTGCGCAGTGGCTCGAGGACACACCAGCAGTCATAAAGCCGAAGATTGTTTATTGTTTATTTATTAATCACTGCACACCTTGTAGGTATCTTACCTTAGTGTTTTTATTTTTGTGGAAAACGTACGAGAGATAATAATCTGTTGTATTGAAGTTTAATGTTCAGAGTGAAGGATTTGGCGACATCTAGCGGTGAAGTTGCA